TTGTTGAGGTAATAAATCGCATGCTCCTTTCTGCCTGTTTCATCATGCTGTCCCAAAACACAACCCATTGATCCTTCGAGCATTATCAGATACATGATGAGTGGTCTTCTGTGTACTAATGACATTAATATTGGTGGCTCTTACAGATACTGTTTTATCTCCTATAAGGTTAATTGAAAATCATCATTTCATGCTACCGTCTGATCTTTTTGTAATAACTTAAATATCGGCTCGCACGTAGCTGTTAGATGCGATATGAACCTTCAGATGTAATTCAATCGCCCTAAGAAACCACACACTTCTTTTTCTATCCTTGGTGCCGGCATCCCTTGTATATCTTTTTCTTTGTCGGGGTCCATTTTGATACCCCACTGGCTTACAATGAAACCCAACAATTTTCCTGATTTGATGCCAAATGTACACTTGTTCATATTTAACCTCAGTCTGAACTTACGTAGCCGTTCGGATAGATTTTAATGTATGATGTATTCCTCCTCCGTATGGGATTTGGCGATCATATCATCTACGTACACTTCAACCTCTTTGTGGATCATATCATGGAATAATGTAACCATTGCCCTCTGATAGGTTGCCCCTGCATTCTTGAGACCGAATGGTATTACTTTGTAGCAAAAAGTTCCCCAAGGTGTTATGAAGGTAGTCTTTTCCATGTCTTCGGGCGCCATTTTGATTTGATTATAGCCCGAGAAGCCGTCCATGAATGAGAATACTGAGGCTTGAGCCGTGTTATCCACCAGAACATCTATATGGGGTAGTGGGAAATCTTCCTTGGGGCTTGCTTTGTTCAGATATCAATAATCCACACACATGCATACCTTTCTGTCTTTCTTGGGTACTTGCACAATGTTAGCTATCCAAGATGTATAATCTCCCACTGCTAAGAACCTTGCGTCAAATTGTTTAAGAACCTCTTCTCTGATTTTGCTGGACATATCTGGACGAGTTCTCCTGAGTTTTTGCCTAACTGGAGAACACCCTTCTTTGAGGGGTAGCCTGTGCACCACGATGTATGTATCTAACCCTGGCATGTCTTTGTAGGACCAAGTGAATATGTCCATGTACTCGTGCAATAGTTTAATCAACCCTTCTTTGATGCTCTGCTCTAACCTTGCCCCTACCTTGATTTCTTTGGGATCTTCCTCTGTGCCCAGATTAATGGTTTCCACGACCTCTTGGTATGGTTGTATGATGTCAGCTTTTCGTTCTATTTCCCTCATCATTTCCTCAGAGAGCTCCAGATCTTCATCATCTTCCTCTTTGGCTTGGTTGATAGGAGCCTCAAAATTGAACCGGGTCACATCAGTAACATTATCGGTGGTTTTGGGCATGGATCTACACATTTTTCATGTTTTGGTGCAGATTTTAGTATATGAGTTTTTTTGAAAATGCATATGCAGAGAAAGTATTGCCATTTTTAATTTTTAAGGAATAAATGCAAGAGAAAGACATGGATCTTGATTGAAAACAAAATATAACTTTCATTGATTGTAAATATTTTCTGAAAGAAAATGAGGAACCCTTACAAGCAACCCCTATGCCTCGTGCTTGACATAGATTCTTTCAAAAACAAGAAAAATTACTTAGGAAAGAAAAAGATCTCGGGAATCTCTGTGGCAGTCCAAATTTTGAGTTCTCCTCCTGAAGCGCACTCCCTGATAAAGTCTGTTGCCTTTCTGGTGTGAAATTTGTTGGGTATCATCGCCACGTGTCCGCCATGCTCTATTCCCTTGTTGAAAAAGGTCTCTTGAATCGGAGGGAAGCATGCTTTACCTTTTGGAGTAGATTTCGATGATTCATAGACCAATCCAAAGTGATTCTTCTTCTCAGGGATCTCTGGGAGCTTTCCCCAGCCTTTTGAGGCATCACAACCCATGGTTTCTTGCAGATCTTTCCACGATGTCACCTTAGGCTTATTACCCTTCTCTACTGGAAGAGTCACCATTGAAGCAATTTCCAAGGCTTGGAACGGAGTAGCTACATAGTCTTCGTCGACATTGATATATTTGTATGATTCAATGTGGCTTACAAAGATATCTTCCTCGCCATCGATTATGATTAATTTCCCTTCCACTAGGAACTTCAATTTCTGATGCAAGGTCGAGGTGACTACCCCTACTGCATGGATCCAAGGTCTCCCCAGTAAGCAAGTGTATGTTGGTTCTATATCCATGACCTGGAAAGTGATATTGAATATATGCGGCCCAATTTTTACTGGAAGATCCACCTCTCCTAACATCGAGCTTCGAGAATCGTCAAATGCTTTCACTATTGTAGAACTTGGCCTCATCACAACGTTATCCATTGTTAACTTTACCAGACTGGACTTTGGCAACACATTGAGGGCAGAACCGGTATAAGTGAGAACCCTGGAAAAATGGGTAGTACCTATTTTCATAGTAATATGGAGTGCCTTGTTATGAGCTCGATCTTATGGCGGGAATTTATTATTGCTGAAACCCAGGTATGATCCAAATGTTAGGTTTGCTATGACATTTTCAAACTGATTTACCGAAATATCTTCCGTGACGTGAGCTGAACTCAGTACCTTCATCAAGGAGTCTCGGTGCGCTTCAGAGTTGATGAGTAGTGAGAGTATGGATATTTTCTCTGGATTTTGGTGAAGCTGATCCACCACTCTGTAATCACTTCTTTTGCTTATTTTCAGAAACACTTCTACCTCTTGGTCAGTAAATTTTTTTCTTGGAGGTTCTGTCTCTTGACTTGTATCAACCACTGCTTTTCCGTTGTCCTTGGTTAGAGTCTCATATTTTTTCTTTGATGGTTCAACTCCAAAAATTCGACCACTTCGGATTATACCCACTGTCCCTGCTATATTAGAAATTGCAGGTCCCTGACTTGGTGAGGGCTCACTTTCTTGTTTCACTCCATTAGTGTATATGGCCGAGTCATAACTCCATGGCACTGCTTTGTTACTCTTATAAGGGATAGGTGAGGGTCCCTTAATAACCATTGTGCCCTTTGGAATAGTTGGTATTATGAGAGTCTTCTTGAGTGCCATCCTTGTGGTCTCCGTTGATTCTTCCCACAAGATCACTAGAGTTTTCTTGTTGAGATTTTGGCAAGGGATTACCAACGACTTCTTTTCTTCAATCACGAATACATATTTTTCTTCAGGGTATGGTCCGAATTGGACTATCCCCTAGTCCATTAGCTTTTGCAAGGTTCTTTTGAAGGCTTTATTATGTTCCAACAGGAACCCACATTCGAACATATATTCTTTTAACAAGTTGATTGGGGTTTCTGCTCGTCTGATTGCCCCAAAGTCAGTGACTACTTCAATTGAATTTATTGTCGGCCCACCATGCTGTTGTACCCTAATTTTTGACCTAAGATCCCATTTTTATTTTTGCATAAGTCAAGGTCACGAAATACGGTCGGTTTTAACGTCTCACCTTCGAGCTTTGACTATGCGAAGATTGTCAAGTGTTTTGAACATTTTTAGCCCATGTATCACTAATTTCTAATCGCATACAAAGGTGTATGTTCATTTTTTCTTTTGTGTCATGTGCAGAGACAGGTCTGAATCAAGAGCATCAGGTGTCGCGCCCCAATTAAGGTTTTGAGTCTCTCAAGCCAGAAGTACGGTTGATTGTGGATTCTCGAAGACTGATTCATCAAGGCACAACTGTTGCACCCTTAATTTCGCCCCTAATTTTTTCAGTCGCACATTCATACCATATTTTGTCATTTGGTCACAGTCATTAGTAAATATCTTCATTCATCATATTTTGCATCATTAGTCGTATTTAAGTTGACCAGAAAAAGTCAGTTTAAATCAAAGTTTGCATCGTCTTTTAGTTAAAAAAATACTCGACATTTCACTTCATTCATTTTTATCTGTTTACCGTTTCTTGCATTGCTCCAAGTTGTTTATATGTCGATAATAAAAATATTTTGGTTTTATAGACAAACTGTTAAAAGCGATTCAACAATGTACGAAAAATTAGCGAGAAAAATATTTCAAGTTTTCACCTTTTACCGATCATTTTATGAATCTGCGCTACGCGTAGATTATGACGGTATGCTCGCTTTATTTTTTCGGTACAGTTCGAAGTCTCGTTTTAACCTTAAACGTCTGTTTAGTCTGATATTTTTATTATTATTTTATTTTTGATTTTTGACTTCTTGAATATTTTTTCTTTAATCTTCGTGACATGTAGTTTATTTTAATATGTTCATTTTATTTTATCGGATAAATTTTCGTCCATTTTTTATCGTTTTCAGTCATTTTGTGTCTATATTTTTAATTCAGAAAAAATTCAAAAAAATCATTTTAAATTGAGTTGTTTTTTATACTTTCAGGTTTTATTTTATTTTTGTCATTCAGGGGCTTTTTGGTCATAAAAAATTATTTGTTAAACTGTGCTTTATTTTGATTGGTTGTTAGAGAGAGTAATGGATCGATCCAGAAAAATAGCAATGAATTGCAAAACAGAAGTGAAATTTTCCTCTTGATCTGTCTATATAAACACTTCTTTCTTTTCTTTGTAGAGGGGGGAACACAATAAAAAACTCTCCCTTTCTCTCAAAAACCTCACTCTCATCTCCCTCATCTCACAGCTCCCTCCATACGCGCCCCCACCCTTCAATGTTCCTCTTCTTCCATTATTTTCCACCCACAACTTGTTATCACCATCGACCCACGTCATCCTTCAATCTTCCAATGCCTCACATCCCCAACTGCCATTGAAAACCATCATCTTCTATGACAACCTTTAGTGCCCTTCATTTCACACCCCTTCCGCACATCCAACTCAGCAGAACACCAAAAAAATCTTCACTCACCCTCTGTTCTCTCATCCTACAACAACTACTAAGAAACACAAAGAACCTAGAGAGAGAAACTGAGAGAAAGGGTCACCAGCCGCCCCCGTCACACGAAACCTCCTTCCCCTTTCCTTCCAATATCCAATTTCATTCATCTCATCCACCTGCTCAACCGGATTTCTGATTCTGTCATGGCTACTACCAGCGCTGGATCCAGCGATCCTACTGCTAATAGACCACAAACGAAACGACCTAAGTACTCAAAGTTTACACAACAAGAACTTCCAGCATGCAAGCCTATTCTTACACCACAAGCAGTTATTTCGGCTTTCTTGATTGTTACTGTCGTATTCATTCCTATTGGAGTTGTTTCGCCTATTGCTTCACGAGATGTTGTTGAAATTGTTGATAGGTACGAGGATGCATGTGTACCGTCAAATTGGACGGACAAGGTAGCGTTCATTCAGAGTAATGCTGATAAAACTTGCACAAGGAAGCTGGAAGTGCCAAAGCGTATGAAGTCTCCTATCCATGTTTACTACCAACTTGATAACTTCTACCAAGATCATCGCTGGTATGTGAGAAGCCGAAATGATGAGCAGTTGAGGGATTCAAAAAAAAGAAAACAATTAACAACCAACAATCCGACCCTACACCGATCCAGCTTCGTGCCACCTTCACTACAGCTCCAACAACCCACCACCTAGAGCAACATGCCAAAGTTGTGCCGATGGTGGAGTACTTGGAGTAGTTCCTGGTATAATTGGCTGTCTCCAAGCTCTTAAGGCGATTAAGGTTGCTGCTTCTGTTGGTGAACCACTCTCTGGAAGGATGCTTCTCTTAGATGCATTGGTTGCACGGATCTGTATTATTAAAATCAGAGGAAGGTCTTTGCAATGTGAAGCTTGTGGAGAAAATGCAATAATGAATCAGCAGTACTTTAGAGAATTTGATTATGAGAAGTTCACTCAAACTCCCTTGTCTGAGGCTCCGTTGAAGTTAAATCTACTTCCCAGTGAGTCTAGAATCAGCAGCAAGAAGTACAACGAAATCATTCTCAACAAGGTACCACATGTTCTTGTCGATGTTAGACCATCTCATCATTTCAAGATTGTGTCCCTTCCAAATTCCGTCAAAGGCGTAACTTTCTTGTTACAGCACCAGCTTCCTCAGGCCAACCGACAGGAATCAACATCCCAACGGTTGCACATCATCAACATCATCACCTCGCCGGCACATACTCCCTCCATTTGCGCACTACAGCCCCCTCGCCGGCACGTACTCACTCCATTTGCGTCCTACAGCTCCGGCCTCCTTCAACCTCTTCAATTCTCCAATTCTCTAATTCTCCAATTCTTGAGGTAAGGTTTTATATCCTCTTCTCCTACAAGTTGTTATGTTGAATATTGATCAAGAATTGTTGAACTGAAGTACACATTTAGTTGTTCATATGGTGTAATATGTTATTTTTGATTCAAGATTAGTATTACTAATTATTAGGATTTGGTATATTTACATAGAGATTTAGTATGTAGAACTTATAATATAATTTGAACTTTAGGTGTTTGTGAAAATGCATAGGTGAATTGGCATGGATTTCAACACTAGATCCTGAACTATAACATTAACACCCTTGGTTTTTCTTAAAATTCTCCTTAGAATTAACATAGGCTAGAATCTTGTAAATTGACATGCTAATCGTGCTTTAAATTTGTTGTTTCTTGAAATGAAGATGTTAAGGTTTGGTATAGGTTGATATTTGATGTTAATTTGGTAGAGATTGCAGCATTCTAATGCTTGTTGTTTGATACTCGACGTTGACACGTTACTTGAATTTTGCATTTGTGCATAAAAGTGTGATGTAATTCAGTTTGTGTTCTTCAGTGTGCATTAATATATTAACACTCTTGTGTTTGAGTTGGTTTTGTTGTTAGTTTGATTCAGATAGGTGCACTAACACAACACTAAACCAATGACACTAGCTTGTATTTGCAATTTTCAACTCATGTGCATTCATACAATTTCATTTCATTTCTTTATTTTGTGATTTCTAACAAAGTTTTTAATTGTTGCGATTTCATTCATTTTAATTTTTATACCGCTTATGCTACTAACGAGTTTGCTTATTGTGAAGGTTTTCGAAAATCGTTTCAGGTATCCATTCTCACATAGCGCATCAATAACTCTTACACTTATCCCTTTTACCTTTTTATTTTATTTTACTATTCTGATTTAATATTAGGTACTGTAAATATATACTTGTACATAATATTTTGACTGTATATTTTACTTGTAAATAAATTCAGGTTTCTTAAAAATATTATTTTCATCGCATTGTGATTTTATTTCCAATTCCAACTAACTTCTGAAAATTGTGCGGACGCACACAATTTCCCCGTGTTGTTAGATTTGTCGGTATATCTCTTGTGATGCAGGGATTCTTATCTGACACCGTGAGCTTTATCCACTGCCTTTGCGCTTTATCTGATGCTTGGAGTATTATTTCACATTAGGTTTTTTGATGATGCTGTCGGCTTGTGATTTATTTTCACCTAAGGTTTGGTATACTCTTAGCTTATTTATCTGTCTGTGGTTTTAACTCCAAAGGAAAATTTAAATTTCTTGACTTCACGTCATCAAATACATCTTCTACAATCGTGCGAATAGCCTCATTCATGTTTGGCTTGTTTACTATTTTTCAAAACTTAAAGACAATTTTCCCAAAAGACTCCATTTTCAAGCTCATACCTTTTAAGTCAAAACTTCAACACTAGGTTGTCGTATCTTCAAAATCTCGCCAACACCTATTTTTAGCCAAACGAACCATTTTAATCAAACAAACAATTTTAACCAAAAACAGATATTTCAAAAGGTTTCTGTGGAGTACCGCAGATGCATTGGGTGCTAATACCTTCCTATTGTATAACCAACCCCCGAACTCTCGATCTCTTTTAAAAACGCATTTTATTTTCGTTACTTTTAAATATTATTTTACATTGCATACTTTAGGGTTTTATTTCGCTCTTTTCCCTTTTCCCTTGGAAATAATAAAGCGCGATGGCGACTTTTGCTTAGTTTGTCTTATCTGTTTTATTGTTATTTGATTGTTTGATTATATGTTTATATTGTGGTTATTTAGGTTTTTGAAAAGGACAAGTCCTATACCCGGACTAAGTTACACTTAGGAATAGGACGGGCGGTATAGTCATGTTAACTTTGAGGGAGTAATCCCGAAGAAGGAGGAATGAGATCCCCCACTCAGTGGAAGGCCCTTTTGAACGTAATATTTGTTTACCGAGTAATCGGGAAGACATTATTATTTTCGACCTGGGAGCCAGAGAAGCTGGGAACCGTAGAACCCTAACCCATCTTGGCCTTTTAGGTGTAGTGCGGAGATTATAACGGAGTAATCCGGAAGTAATTGTTACGCGATGCTACGCTCGGATGAGTTTCTCTTGAGAATATTGCTGATTATTGAGTAATCAAGACGTTGGTAATATCCGAAGGAGGAATGTAGACTCCGGGAACTCTTAGAACCTTGTTCTACAGGTGTGATTAAACCGTTAGTACATACCTCGGGGGTGTTCCTTACCTTGACTCCATGCTCGTGACGTTGAACCTTTCAACTTTATTTGTGACCTTGCTTGTGGTTGTTGCATAGCCATGCATTCATGCAACCCTTTTCACTTGACTTTGAAGGAATTTGGAGGTCTTTCTTTGTAAACATCACAAGTTTCGTCAAGCTCAATGGATCTTGGGTGTTGATAGGGTGAAAACCCTAATCCACCAAAATGGATGATTGATCTTGATGATAACTTGATCAATGTTTGGAGCCAATTTAAAATTCATCTTCTATCTTCATACTTTGATGTTTACAACTTAATATCTTGAGTTCCTTGAAAATCAAATAAAAACTCTCTTTTGCATATCATACATCATTCTACATTTTTTTTTGTTTCACTTTCAAAGGTCTTTTTCCGAGTCTTATTTTTCCTTTGGTCTCACCAGTACAACACTCGCGCCAAGAGAACAATGGAGAATATCAAGCAAGAGGTTTCTGAACTCCGTAGAGAGATGACTATTTTGAAAGCTGGTATGGATCACTCAACTGTTTTGGTTGAAATTTTGGTTGCTGCCCAAGTCAATCCTTCTAAGAAGGAGGAAGCGATGATAAAAGTATTCACCGATTGTCATTCAAGGACGTTGGTTTTGAAGTTAAAATCAAGCACGTGCCGAAGAGTAAACACGATTGACGGTCACTTTGAGTTTTGAAGGATGTTTTCGGTGATTCAAGTCCAGATGGAAAGCCTTCCCCGATCATTAACTTATTTATGCTTGTTGCAATTCTTCTTGTTTATCAAAACATTGTTTGCATGTAAGAACTTGTTTGCATCTGAAGGATTATCTTAATACAATGAGTATGTTTGTCTTGAAGAAATTCATTCGTTTCACTCATGTTTGTTTTTAAATTTTAAATTGCTTTTTGCACTATGATACCAAATTGTTGCTCATTCTCTTGCCTAGGCAGAGATTGAAGGGAGGATGATGATCTAAAGAACACAAAATCTCTGGTTGCATGATTTTGGATAAAATCTTGCTGATGATGTACAAGCATTGTTTCAAATCCCTAAACACTGGAGATATAAGGAAGATAATCCCTTGCTAACCCCTTTTGAGCCTTTGAAGCAGAAGTTTCTTTTCTATACGAAAAAACCTTGAATTTTAACCTGGGGCAGGGTAGTTTTTAGTTAATCTGACTGAGTGTTCAAAATTCATAAGGAAGATGTTTTTTGAAGAGAAACTACGAGGGCTATCTTTAATGTATAATGAAGCCAGAAGATGTGGAATCATAATGTTATCCCTCATTCATCAAGAAACGAGGCAATCACAATCTTCTCAACAAGCAAATACAAGCTAATGTCACACATTTTGTTCAAAAAGTCAAAAAATCGAGAAAAAGAAAAAGCCTGCTAAGTCAAAAAACATGAAAACGTGTGACTTAGGCAAAATTAAGGCATCCAGCTGGACTATCAATTCAAAAGAATTAGTTCAGGAAAAAGTTAGGGAAAATAAAATCGCAAAGAAAAGGACTGCAAAGAAAAGTCCTCAGCAAAGAACAAATTGGTGACTACAAACACGAAGACATGAGGGTGGTTTCTACTCCGAAAGCCTCGTCGTTTCCTTGACCGTCACAAAATCCTTTTGAGAGATGAACACTCATGTTGAATTAACTGAACATAGGGTTGGAGAACATCATGAAGAATGGGTGGGCACCAAATATTTTGAGCCTTAAAATCTTTTTTCTAAAAACCATGAACCAGACCACGTTACAACCTGCAAAAGTCCTAATTGAAGCAAGGTTATTTTGAAAGCATACTTCAATGAGATAGTGTTCCTGACTCCCATGAATGTTCTAAATAGTTATGTTGATATCATATGTTTTGCCTATACAAAAATAAATGGTGTTTTAGCACGCAAAATTTGTGCGATATCTTTCAAAATCTTCAAGACTTACATAACTGTTACATTAGAATTTTCATTCTCATTGTAAACTTTTTCTAACTGCAAAACATTTGTCTGATATCAAGGAAGCTCATATAAGCACCAGTGATGAGTCTATTCTTAAGGCCTGAAGCTCTGTTGAGTAATTGGCGGATCATTTCAAGAAAAAATCATATCCTTGGGCATGTCACCTGAAGACCGTAAGCACGGACATGTTGCTTCTCCCAGTTAATGCTTTTCCCAACTTGTTTGCTCGTTTGGGGCAAAAATTCGAATACTTTGTTGTGCCGACTACAGTCAATCCGGGGCAATCACGTAAAGATTTGATGAATCTCTCTAAGAGTTTGAAGACACCAGAGCATGGTGAATGCCAGGTATTTTGTAAAATCCTCTTGAGACGATTTCTCCTCATCAACCATATAGCTCGGGGCATTTTAGAAGTGAAGTTATTCGCAAGAATTGTCGTGCATCACGCAGCTTATCAGCAGTAAAATTGGGGCATCCAAAATTAATCCCAGGGGCAATCCAGATTTGTCAAGATATGTTTTTCATACATTACCAGAGGGTGGTGTTCCCAGTATCTCCAGCTAAGCAAGACTTCTTTCCAGCTGAAACTTTGTTTATGTGTTATCCTTTCAATGGATTGTCGACAATAGAGGACTGGACTTTGGGTTTTATAACAAAAAATATCTTTCCTCTCCAGAGAGATTTAAGCCTTGTAAAAGGACCTTGCTCCAATGATGGCCTGTGTTTTATCTCCAGTAATGTTCCCATCCTGTTGAGATTAGCCGAGTGTTGGGTTGTGTTATGATGTCTTATCATCTCCAGTTTATCTTGTCTATTTGTTTTGTCAGCACATACAT